TGACGAATAGGTCCACCTTGATGGTTTTCTAATTAAATCCTCCTACAAACACAAATTCACAAAAACTTATGAAATTTATTAGTTTAAACCCCTAGACCTATATTTGGTGATGGAATTAAGTATATATGCAGGTTATATTGATGATTTATGATTGATATTAACGACCGTCAATAGCAGGCTCCCAAAGTTGAGGACCTGGCTGGGGTAAATCATAGAGGAGATGCAATGGTTTATCCTAGTTTAGGCTATCGGGGCCCTAAGTCCAGCAACTGGTGATCCTTATACTTAAGAGAATCCAAAATCTAGGGGGTTACAACAGAGTGTAAGAGAGAGATTTGTTAAGGGATCGCTCGGTGTTGATCCTAGGAAGCCTCACCGCCAGTGAGACCTTCCCCCTCGTCGAAGAGGAGGAAGACAATGGAAGTAGGGGAGGAGCTCTTGGTGCCCCTCTCTAGGTTGCTCTGCTCTTGGTGCAGAGCATGAGCTGTTTGGTGAGGACTCGAATGATCTGTCTCAGATCATTTGGGAATTGTCCTCCCCCTCTTAGGATCCAACCTCCGCTTATATATCGAGGTAGGTCGGGTACATGGTGGTTTGGCTGAGTTGAGCCTATGGTCTACATGCGCCGTAGTCTAGGAGGGTCTTGCAGCTGCGTCGTGTGAACTGTGGCGATGTTGTGGAGCCAAAAAAGCTCTGGGCGTCATCCGTTTGCTCTATTCTGACACGCTAAGTGTCAAGCAGTGTTGGTTTGGACCGGCCTCCATTAGGTGCACCTTCTGGAGGCTTCTTGGTGATGAAGGCGGCTGGCTTGAGGGGCTGATGCATGGGCCTAGAAGCCCCCGAGCCCCTGAAGCTAGCGGAGGAGTTTGTCTTCTTGCGTCACGCCCATGCGTGACCCTATCAGAGGAGTGGTTGACAACACCACGCCTATGGGACAGCGCTAGGGAGCCCCCAAGCCTTGGTGGCTCGGGGCGCCTGTCTCGAGCATAGGCCTTGGCTAGCGCCGAAGGCCGGGAGGGAGCCAAGGATTGGATCCAGATTCCCATCGATCGGGAGCCTGAGGCTCTAGTGAGCCCCTGAGTCCCGAGTAGAGGCGGCGAGCGTGCTCAGGCTTGGCCTAATACCTTAGCTGGAGGGTGCGCGCGAGCGTACCCAATGGGTATAGCCCTCAAGGCCCCGGGTGATCCTGGAAGGGTTGGTCGGGGTCTCTTAGTCAGGAACCATTGATCTCGAGGCTTAACATACCCCTATGTTAGGATCTCGTCACTAACAAAGGTAACATATCAATTGACAATGCAAATTTTAAGGGACAATAATGCCTAAGAGGGAGAGGGTGAATTAGACTTTCTAAAAACTTTAAACTATCTTGGCCTCTAATTCCTACTTATCAAAACCTATGCAATAAATCTATCTATGTGCAACTAGGTTTTGCTAAGTGTTGCTATCTTGACCACAAAGAGTTATGCAACCTAGGTTCCAAACCTATTAACTAGCCTAGCAATCTAAACTAGAAAGATAAGCACTCAACCTAAGTACACAATGTAAATGTGGTAGCTTAAAAATAGAGAACGTAGACTCCCATTGATAGCTCCTAATGTTTACTGGGGTACTGAGAAGCTCACATTTTCCCCTAATCCTCATTGGAGTCCCTTGCAAGGGCCAAGATCCTAGTCAAGTAACTTCATGGGTAGACCCTAGGCCTTTCCCACATGCAAGTGGGTCTCCAAGATGGCCTCTCTTGGACTACTCCCCGTCGTCTTCACTATCGAGCTTCTAGCCAAAATGCCACAAGCTTCATTCCCTCTAGGACACTGTAGGCGGCCACACCCCAAACGCGGTTGGTGTGATTTTGCAAGAATTACAAGCCCCTTCGTGTACAACAATGGTGCATGCAAGCACCGAGCTTTCCAAGCTATGCAAACGTCACTAACACTAGGCCTAAACCTAGAGCAAGCACTTTAGCGGTGGTCTGACTAGCCTAAGAACTTCACAAAGCATCTACACTAATCACCTAATGATTTTCTTAAGTACTATGGTGGCAAGAGCACCAGAATGGACCCTCAACTCTCTTGGTTTGTTCCTTAACTCTCACTCCCCTCAAATGATCGGGGGTTGGGGTGTTTATAGCCTCCCCCACAAGAAACTAATAGTTGGAGGTGAACTACATCTTCTGTAGTAGCACCGGAATTCCCTGTACCCCCACCAGAGTTTTCTGGTGATGTCGTGGACTAGCTATTGGAGGATCTCCTACCGACCATTGCCTCATTCTCCGATGCCTCCTTATCTGGTGCCATCAGAATTTTCTGATGAACACTTAGTGCTCTGACAACTTCTATGTAGTAGCACCAGAATTCCCTGTGCCCTACCAGAGATTTCTAGTGGTGTCACATGGACTAGATGTTGGATCTCCTACCGGTCGTTGCCCCGTGCTCTAGTGCCTCCTTATCCGGTGCCATTGGAGTTTTTTAGTGAGCACTCATTGCTCTCAGTTTCCATTCAGAAACCCACCAGTGATGACTCCTTTCTTCGGTGCCTTGCACCAGACTATTTTGATGCCTCTCTATAGCTTCTGCAAGCTCTCTGGACACCATCCTTTTCTTTGGTGTCTATCCATAGACAAACAACAGACAATTTTGGTGATGACTTTAGTTCTCTGTAGAACTCTGTAGTCTGGCGCCCTTTCTCTGGTGGCTCTTTTCAAGCACACACTGGATAATTCCGGTGGGTATCCAACCCTAGCTTTGTACTATGCTTGGCCTTTTCTCTAGTGGTGCTTAACACGGTAGCACCAGATAATTTCGGTGGTGTCGTGTACCCTTGTTGTGCTCTGTTTCTTCGTGTCTTCATTCCAGACTACTTCACTTGGTGCCTTGGACTTCTAGCATGTCTTGTGGGTCTTCAATATAGCTTGTAATGTCTTGCTTGAGGTGTTGACCACTTCATTCTCCACGTTGCCTAAGTCCAAGACAACCTTGCATCCAAATGAACTTTTGCTTGTATACTACCAAACAAAATTAATCCATTTGATCATATTATCAATTAAGCACCAAAATCAACTAATGGCCCTAGCATAGATATCATTTTCCTTACACAAATCTCTAATGTAACATATGAATTGATAATTACAGGATCTTATTTAACATCATATCAATTGACAGTTTGGATAGTAGCTATGATTATTTATATCTCTAATACATGCATGGTAAGATCCGCCATTTCTATCTTTTGTCCATGTAGCTAGTGCTTCATTAAGAAATATGTTTTGGCATAACTGTGGTTTTATGGAAGTTATTAGGAGATAGACATGTTGCCAGTTTGCTTGGGCTGAATTGGTATGTGCTGCAATATGTGTACCATGGGAAATGAAAATGTGGGATTTATAGCTAGGTGTTGGTGATTGCCATGGTAGGGTACTAGGGTCAAATTGTATCCTGATACTATAGGGTTGAGACACACTACTTGGCCTGGGTGGTTGTGGCTGTAGGTTCAAGATATTTTGGTGCAATCACTTATCCATTTGTTATCTATATAATATGGTACTTGAAAAATAATGCTATCTTAAAAGGGCTTTCATCTAAACTCGATATCTAATCATTGAAGACTAACAGAGCAACCTTAGTTTGACTAACTGATTTCTGCGTGGGCGCTACCACACCTGCAATCAAGCCACGGACGAGCCGCAGGTGGAAGGCGACCAGTGAGAGGATGATAGATCGCAAAGCCTGGTGTTGAGGAAGAGGAATGGTTGAGAACAAATAAAAAAAAACAGATGACCCACCAAGAGTGGGTCCCATGTGTCAGGAGAGGTAAAGGAAATATATTTTTCTTTAATATATGTGCTCAATACATGAATTATGGCTCTGTTCGCTTGAGCTTATAAACCAGAACCAGCCCTACTTTTTCAACCATGGAATAATGTTTTTCTTTCACAAAAAATTAGCCTTACAAATCAGCCGCAGCAGCCATAAGTCCTGCTGAGTAGAGCCTATGTTTCCTCAAATCTCCTATAACAAGTGTTAATGAAAACAGAAAATAGAGAGATGCCTGGCCTGTTGGGGTGTTGTTTATTAAAACTCTAGTATTACGAAACCACGAAAACTGTAGACATGTAATACCATAGTATTTAGAAACCACAGTGTTTCTTGGTTTAAGAAAAACTATGACGTGTTTGGCTACGAAGCAATACGTTGCTTTTGAGACTAGTTGGTTGTGTTTATGCCGCTAAAAATATCATGTCTCTCTAAAGATAGCAGTGAAAATGAGATGCGCCATCAGAGATGGACAGGTGTCACCGAGCTCAGTAAAAAATAAAGAGGGTAGGGACCAAGTTTTTGAGACTAAAAAACCTATGGTTTTATTAATACCATAGTTTCTAAAACTCCAAATTAATTACATCCAAACACCTTCTTTCTTTCAGATATGTAGGTATTTTAAAAAACCATGGTATATCGATCTAAAACTTTAAAAAAACTTTGTATCGAAACATGGCCTTAAGGTTTCAAATAATGTATATAGTTTTTTTTGCCAATGTAAAATCATCACGAACAAAAGAACATTTTCATCTGCCACATTGTACTGAACTTTTTTTACATTTATTTACGACTTCGACAAATAGGTAAATTGTATACGGTGACGGTGTGACGCCCACGTGGCCACGTATCACAACACGAACTCGGACACATAAGACAGCAGCCTCTGTTATCCTGGCCCACACGTCAGCCTCCCTGAAGTAAGCGTGGTAGTTGCCCCCGTGGCCCCGTCACCTCCAGAAGTAGCCATACGGATTCAGATCGCGGCCGCGGCGACCCCCCGAGCAGAGGAACCCGATCGAGCGCGGCAGCGCAAATCCCCAATCTCAGATCCTGCTGCGAGCAAAGGTATGATTTTTCCAAGGTCTCCGTGCTCGATAGCTCAAATCGATTTCCGCCAGCGGTTTTCCTCAAATCTTTTGGTCTCTCTCTTTTCTTCCCCCGGCGATCGGTCGGGATCGATTCGAGCAGATGGCGGCGGCATGGGCGGTGCTGGCAGTGTTGCTCGTCGCGGCGCAGGTGGCGTCGGCGGTGCCGGTCACGGCGCCAGCGTTCCTCTGGGCGCCCAAGAACTACGGGTGGGTAACTCGTTGCGCTTACCTTTTCCGTCCGTAGCATGAGATCCCGTGTTTGTTAGATAAGATGGGTGATATTGATGTTGGGGGTTCCGGTTGTTCTACTTCACTTAGACAATACAGTATGATCTATTGTGAATTTGTGTACAGATCTTTGCCATACAGATGGAATTTCCTAATCTTTGTTCAACAAGTAGTTTCTTTACCTGCAGTTTGCTCATTGTTGCCTTCGTTAACTAATATAAGTAGTACGTATAAGATTGCCCAATCAATAGGATAATTAGCCCATGTTCTTAAACCTTGTCTGTCGGCTTCCATGCTATGCTATCATATTTCAAGATTTGGGTGGAAATAGCAGTTCATTGCAGCTGCATTTGTACTTTACCATATTATACCAGATGATTTTTTACATTTAATTAATTTTTTAAATGCATGTCCATCCAACATACTGTTGAAAGTTTAAGACTTTAACTTTAGGACTAGGGAATTCATAAATTCGGTGGCCCTTGCGAACATTGGCAAAACCAAATTTGCATCTTTGAAGTTGCATGAGATCCCATGTTTGCTAGATAAGCTGGGTTTGGGGGTTCAGGTTGGTCTGCTTCACTTAGGGCTCGTTTGGGAGGGCTCTGTCCGCGCGGCTCCAGTGCTAGAGCCACCGGCTCTGGCTTCTCCCGTGAAAAGGGCTCCGGCTCCTCCCATTCACGAGCAGAAGCGTTCCTCACTGCCACCGTGTTTGATGTGGCTCCGCCAGCTCCTGTGCCAGAGCCCGTGGAGGAGCCGCAGCGGGAGCCGCACAAAACAGGCCCTTAGAAAGTACAGACCATTGTGACTACGTGTACAGAGCATTGTCATACACATGAAATTTCGTAATATTTGTTTACAAAATAGTTTCTTTGTTTAGTTTGTACACTATTACGTCGCTGAATTAATATAAGATAAGATGGCTCAATTAATGTGTTTAAAATTTGTCCATGGGTTCCTGTAGAAGAGCGTAGCACATGTTATTGGTAGGAAACAACAGTTCACTGCAACTTAGATTATGCATTACCACATTATATCAGATGTCTTTTATGTTTACAATTGAAAATGCATGTTCATCCAACATACTGTTGAAAATTCAAGATTCTGACTTTAGGCCTAGGGAATTCATAAACTCGGTGGCCCTTGTGAAACTTTACAAAATAAAATGGAAAATTTGCATCATTGATGTTGCATAGTGCTCATTGTGGCCTACTACTATAGGCTATAGCTAGTGCTCAAAAATATTGTGTGCCCTTCTTTTGCTACCTGCGGCATGGACCTGGAATTACTTTTGGCTTTTACTTTTTCTGGGTCACCTGTAGCCTCTAATTGCAATGGAACTTGAAGCTATGAGTTCAGTTAAAAAACTATTTATCAGAGAATTTGACATCAATGCAATGACACAACTTTAGTGCTCATCAGTGATATAAGGTTACTTGCTTACTAGACCCAATGTTACCCTGTTCAATATTGGTGTCCTTTCAGTTCGCTTAGTGTTAACCATAGTCGAATTTTCTAGTTCATGTCGAATATTTATTGTAAGCGAGAATAATTGAGCTTATACTTTCCTAGAATGACCTACATTCCATCCACCTTTGTCCTCCAGATTCCGCTCTGATGACGCTAAGGAGGTAGTCCATTATCAGACAATCTCACCAAAGAGCTTAGCTAAATCTGTTCTCGAGGAAGGTGGCTGGTCAAACTTTATGGTAAGTATCCCATTGGTGAAACTTAAGCTCTCATGCAACTTTTTTTTTAAATTATCAACTCTTGCATCGAAACAAGTTTCATAAGTTCCCTGATGTCATGAGTTTCTATTCTTAGTGTTCAAGGGAGGATACTCAGAAGAGTGTTGATGTTGCCATTGTTTTTATTGGCTCAAAGGTACTTAACACTCATCTAATATTTACTGGTTTGAAATAATCTGCTTGTGCAAATATTGTTTCAATGAAATACTTCCTTTAAACTGAAGCAGTGCTGGCACATAGATTTGAAATTCAGCAGTCAATATTTATGATATTTTGTTTATTGATTCCATGAGGCTATAAAACTTGCAAATTCTTCACCATTCTAATCTATATATGGTGACGTTATTACTGAGAAATCCATTGCTTCAGTTGTAACTGACCATTGATTTGTTCTTTTTTACTTAGCTACAATCGTCAGACATATCTAAAGATAAGCAAGTTGATCCAGCTTTAGCAGACACATTGAAGGTAATCATTGTCCCTCGTAATACTGTTTAACTGAAGCATCAAATTTTCCATGGCTTATAATCACTATGCTTCTACCAGCTCTCCTTCACAGATTCAGAGTTTTTCATGGCATTCCCCTATGTTTCCACATCAGATGATGAGAAATTGGAGAACTCATTGCTATCTAGCTTTGCTGAGAATTGTAACAGTGGTTTTGGAAGAAACCGTATCACCTACACAGACACGTGTACTGTAAGTGGTCAAGATGTGAAGAAATATCACAACATGGATGCTATCAATGTAAGTTACTATGTATTTTCCTGTTCTGCTTCTGTTTTATATTTGTTTTGCTCCCTGTATTGACTGAACATATTTTGCAGGACTTGGTACGGTATGGGGTAGGGTCAAGGAGAATTAACCCAAGTGAACAGACTGATATAATCGTCTTCTGTAGCGGTGGGTTCGAGAAAATTTTCACTCCGAAATCAGAAGGTTAGGTTAAAGACTACCAGTATTGTTCTTTCACTTTCAATTGTACTGCTGAAAGCTAAATTTCTACAATGACACCACAGGAGAGTTGCTTTCCCAGCTTGTTCTCTTGCTGGAGCAGTCTGGGGCTAAATACACGATTCTTTATGCTTCCCAACCATCTGGTTTACTGGAGAACCCTTCCAGCTTGCCACTAGGTAGGTATCTTGCAGAGAAGACTAATGGTACAAAAATTGGCCAGGGCAAATGTGATGGAGAGTGCCTAGTCAAATCAACTCTTCTTGAGGGAACTTTTGTTGTAAGTTCTTTACTTGTATTCTGGTTTCATTACTTGTCAGTTCTATTCTGAGTGTGGGCTTGCATGTAGAATTAGTAGAATTAATGTATGCGTTGTCAATGTACCTTGTACGGTTGTACCCTTGTGCTATATTCTGACATTGGTCTTCAATGTGCAGGGAATAGTGCTTCTTATCGTCCTGATATCAGGACTCATGTGTATGATGGGAATCGATACTCCCTTGAGGTTTGAAGCTCCCCAGGAATCTTGATCTCCCTTTGACGCAGGATCTGGGGGATAGATGAGGCACAAAGAATGAAGCGACCGATGTTTGTCGGTCTGCACTGTGGATATTGTTTAGTTTCCCCTTTGAAAGTGACTTGTGTATTTTACTGAGCCAACTGTTATTTACAATGTGCTCAAATTTTTTGTGTAATATTACGTTTCATGTCTATGGACATCTAGCTGAGCCATTGCAAACAAGTGCATGTGTGACTGAGGCTTGTGCTGTACTAGACATAGCATTGCCTCCAGTGTTTTCTGTGAATAACCTGAAATTCAGGTAACCAATAAGATGGGTACCATGCATCAAATAAAATGAAATCTTGCTATTTGTTTGATCAGAATCAGATGTTGCTGTACTTGAACCTGTGCCATGCCTCAACTTCAAACTGACTGTTGGGGTCTCTGTTGTCAACATCCATGAACAGGCCGTCTGGTACTGGCGGTACACGGTACTGCAATGCATTGATCCTCTGCGTGTGTAACGCGCAGGCTGATTGGCATTGATCCTTGTACCTTACCTGATGAAACTGCTTGCTTATATTTTTCAATCTCGTAACTGTTCAGTGTATGTCTGGGCCCCACCTGCATGCCGTTTCTTCTTTTCTTTACTTGCTAATGAATCAACAGGTGCTACTACTAGACCATTTCAGTCGAACTACTTTGCTGATTAGGACAGAAACTAAAAGCCACTTTTGTAGCTTTCACTTGTGCGGTTACTGTCAGGGCAGCCTTACCGCGCAAGTGATCACTTGAACTAGTCAGGAGCCAAAGCATCAGCATCAGTTATCTGCTTCTCAAAACAGGATCCAGTCCAGTCTTTCCTGGGGTCAATTTGTCCTTTATGCTGTGACTCGAAGTCCGTCGCCTGTCTTAGCTTAGCACTAAAGCACCAAGAAATTTGTGGCCCCTGCATAGATAAAATGTGTGCATCTTTTTCCTCGTTGATGGAGGTAAATGTAACCGGGACAACTGCATGTATAAAATGTGGCTCTTGCATGTAGATGAAGCACACGAGAAAAAAAAAATCTTCCTTGCTTTTTCTACTAAAACTTTTTGTTGCTCTTTTCCTCCCTGTTGTGCAACTTTTTTCTCCGTTGCTGTTTTATTTGTTGACCAACATTGTCGATCTTCACGTACCAGCGCTACGGCGTGCATTTGCCACTTGTTCATTCAGTGGCTACTGGAACACGCCAATAGACCCATCGTCCCATGCTTGCAATCTCTCTCTGATTGACACAAACCGGTTTGAAAATGACGCACAGACGAAAGCAAAGTTGTTCAAGGCTATGCATGTGCAATTGTGCATTGCTCTAATTTTCGTATGGTCGGTGCTGACGAGGACGGCGACATGCCGACATGCATGCTGGCCATACGCAGGCTGCCAGATCAGCGCGTGTTAGGCTCTGAGGAACCATGCCGGGCGAGTCGCCTGCAAAACATTGCTTGTAAGGAAGACCATGGCAGAAATATGATTGATCATAATAATATATGGACGGGACGGATCGACACGGAGTTTTTATAGAAATTATTGTGAAGGTACACAAGTACGTAGTGATCACTTCAGAGTAAAGTGATAATCCAATCTCCAAAGGAGAAGTCCGATGTGTGCTAAAAACTGAACTTTCTCTAACACATTTTGGAGAAAAGTCCATTTTACAACTCAACCATTAGCCACGAAAGCATTTGCACCTTAAGAGCATCTCCGAGAGCCTTTCTAAAATATACTTTCTACATCATCATTTGGAGAGTAATTTGAGTAAAAATCGTTTTCTATATTTTTGTATTCTCCAAATCTTTTCTATATCTTGTGCGCGGTCTAGAGAGTCATCCTCGCTCTTCATCTTTGGCTAGTGAGAAATCCAAAGTAGATGATATCTATATTTGGATATTCAATTGAAGAGGCTGTTGGAGGGTATTTTCCACCAAAATCTCTATTTCTGTAAATTAGGAATCATATAAAGAGTCTCTTAGAGATGCTCGTCGACTCTAAATTAGAGTGGTTTTCAGTGACATGACCAATGCATTTTTGTTTTCTAATTTATAAATAGCTTTAAGATTTTGTAACTCCCCAAACACTTTTTTTATATGTGAAATAATAATGTAATAGTATTGCAAGGCTAGTTAGTGCTTAAAACCAACTTAAACCCTTTTCACTATGTTGACAAAAAGTCCATACAAAATTTATTTAGGTTTTGAATAATCCTATGTGCAATTGAAATTTATAAAAAAACAAAGTCATTTATATAAATTAAAGTACCATGGGAACCATGACAAAATAATATCATATACAAATTAACTCTCAATCAAAAAATCAGTTTGCTCTAGAGGAAATTACATCTTAATTCACACTAGATTATTTATTTATCTTTTCAAACAAAAGATATGCAAATGATGTTTTGTCTCAAATATATATATGAATATAGTTAAGTTGTAGATACTCCATATAGTGCGAGTGGAAAGATTGAAAATCTTCTTAAGTTATGCTGCCAATTTATAAAATATATAATAAATATTTCAGCTTTGACCATGTTACGTCGATGTTGAGTCACCCACAAACCACCTTAACATTAAACCAAGGTTAAAAACGAAAGGTTTTAATAGTTGAGTATTGAAAAGTGAAATGTTTCATAGTGAATGTTGGATGGGATACAAAAGGACATATAACTACTTGCACCGGATTTTGATGCAGGAAAGATATGCCCAAATTCAGGTATATATATACAGATAAAGGCGGTTCAAAGTAGTTCAATTTTCCTTACACTTTTCATCAGCCGTATATATATGCAAGCTGATGGGGGTTTGAAAAGTTTATGTCAGTACGTTAATACCACTTTAAGATGATTAATAACCCTAGTGGAAAAAATGGCATGACTCCCCACTGTTTTCCGTTTTCTCTTACACGACTTTTGGTCAACAATTTAGGTGTAAACACGCTTTTGTGCACGGCATCTGTACCAAACAATGTATATTATTATATATTGTACGTTGGCAACCAAACCAGCAGCCAAGTCGTTACGTAATTCTCCAGCCTAATTGAGCAGCTACCTAGGAGACCATAGTTAGCAAATGATGAGGCCCTCAAGGACTGCATGCTCAAGTCACATGCATGATTGATCCATGCATGCATGACAGCATCAGTGCAATCCCAAGCCAAGCCATATGGATGTACGCTGGCATGCATTGGCTAGCATACCGTAGCACTTTTGTTTTTATTTGTTAATTAGTGTTCAATCATGGACTAATTAGGCTCAAAATGTTCGTCTCGTAATTTCCCACCAAACTGTGCAATTAGTTTTTTTTTCATCTACATTTAATGCTTCATACACGGGCCGCAAACATTCGATGTGATAGGTACTGTAGCACTTTTTGGGAAGTTGAGGTGGAATTGAACACGCGCTATATTCATGTAAAGCTAACGAGAAGCATCAAGCAGTTTGATGAATGGATGGAGCGTGTGACGTGACAACGTGGACTGGGCCTGCATGCTGGTGCTGGTGCTGGTGCTGGTGCTGGTGCTGGATGCGCCGTCCAACATGCCTGCCTGCATGCCGTGCACCGACTTGGACCGGCGTGGATGCTGCTGCATGCACGGCACGTGATCTTCTGACATGATTAGCTTGCACCAAGCTGTGTAGCACGCATCAGCATATCCAGCAGGGACGTCGCCACGCATGCACTAGCTAGCTCCCATCCCAATATCCCATGACATCCTGACTTGTGCGCCAAGGTTACAACGCAGGCTTTGGCTTCGTCTTTAGTTAGTGACAGATTCTTCAAATGGCTTTAATATAATACTTCTGTCATGCTGTACTAGCGATTAAATTTATGTCTTTGTGAGGATTCTCTGCACCCTAGTTTTACTTTAAAGCAATAAGGGTTTTTTTTATCATTCTTTCGGAGGTTACCAGAATTACGAGTTGGATTTTAATTTTTATATGACATATAAGCACCGAAAAAAGTACGCCAAGTTAAGAGGGTTTGGCAGGGCTTTAGCTCCTCTGTTTTCCACTGAAAACAACAACTCCTACAAAGTGTTTGGTTTGGTTCCTCCGGAGGGGCCGGAGCCGACGACTCCTACAAAGTGTTTGGTTGGGCTCCTTCGGAGGAGCCGGAGCCGAAGCCGGCGAGGAGCCCTACCAAACAAGCTCTTACATCGCACAACTTCGTCTTTAGTTAGTGACGGGTTTAAGCCTTATTTGGCATGGCTCATCCAGCTTTGGCTTCTTGCTACAGTGCGTGGAGAAGTTGGAGCCGGTTAAGCAAAATAATTAATAAGATAAGAGTCCATTTGGATGGCCATCTTTTGGCTCCGGTACTGTGCGGTAATACTGTAGAGGAGTCCCAAAAATATGGCTTTTCCGTTTTGTAGTTCATTTTGGCCGAGGCCAGAGCCATAGCCGTTTCTTTCCATGCATGCTACAACATCAACACTACCAAACAGTACGTTACAGTATTTTTTGGGGCTGGAGCCGGAGCCCCTATATGTGGCACCAGGTTCCAATAGTTTGATTGGATCCTATTTCATTAAGAACAAATTTCTTGTTACACGATATAGTGTATGGAGAAGTTGGAGCCGACCGAGGCTGTACTAAACGGGGCCTCAAATGTCTTTGTTCGAGCTCTAGGAATCAAATTAAAATCTTTCCATTTATCTCGGTTCTCTAGGATGATGCACCAAATTACACCAAGGATTTTGATATAGATACGCAGAGGCACCAAAAAGGGTATATAAGTAGTGTTCTTCCATACAGTAATACTTTTGGTTTAGTACAAAAGACATGTATATGTATCTGGTGACGATGATACGAAAACTATATATAGCAAGTTCCAAACTATGCGTATATAACGTATAAAAGTATGTATATCAGCACCAACTAATAACAAGGAATATATCCTCAGCAACAAACGGGATCACTGTTACGCATCGTTCCTCTCGCTACCAGACTAATTAATGAATCAAGCAACCAACAAAACTGCCACACAACTACTAACACAAGCCATCACTAAATTTTCAGCAGCATTACTTGCTTGTATGGTAACCTGCAGCATAATTTCCCCCGTAGTTCCCAGCAAGCCTCTGCTGCAGCAGAACATTCTGGGAACTATGCTGCGCAATTCCGGCCGCCGCCACCGAGGAACCCGGCAATCCAGCACCGAAGTTCGGAGAGGCGCCACCGCCGCCGCCTCCTAGAGCTTTCGCCACCATTGCCTGGTGGTGCAAGCTGTAGTTCGTCCCCATTGCTGCTTGTTGGTCTGCCGCGTGACGAAGCATGTTCGTCCATGAGGAGCTGTCGTTGTTGTTCGTTGCAGCAGCTGCTGCTGAGTTGGCCACGGCCGCCGCGTGCTGTGAGTTGCTGCCGTCAGTCGGCAGGCCGACGAAGCAACTACTCGTAGTAGTCGTCGGTGTAGTAGCTCCGGTGGCGGCGGTGGTGTGAACAGGATAGCAGCAGTCCGCGTTGTACGGCGGCGCGGCGGAGTTGAAGTAGCTGGAGTAATCCAGAAAGGAGTCAACGAGGAACTCGTCGCCGCCTTCACCGGCCTCGACGGAGCTGACGTTGGGCGTTCCGGCGGCGGAGGAGTAGTGCTCCTCGCCGGCGGCGGCCTTCTTGCTGCTGGCCTCTTCGCCCCCTTTGTGGTGCACCTTGCACACGACCCATTCATCCTGAACATAGAGCAAATTAATTAAGGAGAAAAAATAAAGGAAAAATGAGTTGCTAGCGCTTGGCAAAACTGCAAAAGGAACGATTTTTCAACACGACCGAGAAGAAGTTGTGTTGTTGAGGTAGCAATAGAACTGAACCACACGTTACTACCTTGGGATTGAAGCGTAGGTTGGAGTCGTTGGTGTGCCTGGACTTGCCCTCAAGGCGGAACTCGTGCATCACCCAGTTGGTCTTGGTGCCCCGCGGAGCCCTGCCCATGTAGAACACCAGCGTCTTCTTCATCCCCACCAGCTCACGCCCAGGCTGCTTGAAGATCTCCCTGTCCTTGCCCGTGGCCTTCCAGTAGCCCTCCTTGGTGGCGCGGTTCGTGCGCGTGCCCGTCGGGTATTTCATGTCCTTGTGGCAGAAGAAGTACCACTCCTTCTCCCCCATCTTCGCCTTGCCTAATAAGTGTCAACAATTCAATATAAATGGGGGAAAAACATAGAAACATTACATGTTGCTCAAATCATCTATCTACATCTACATCTAAAGAGAAATAACAAATGAAATCAGTAATACATGTATGTAGCTTACTTGGGAGATCCCATGGCTCGCACTTGTTGAGGTCCACTTCGCCGATCGCGTGCGGCGCGAAGCTAGGGTTCAAGAACTTCTGCAGGAGATAGCTGGTGATGACCTCTTCGTCTGTGGGATGAAACCTGAAGCCAGGAGGCAGGAACAGGTCGACTCCATGCTCTGATTTCACACTACGCTCCACCATGGCCGATCTATTGCTTGAAGCACTACGGACCACTGCTGCTTGACTAGGAACAGCAGAGGAAAAATGCAACAGCAGCTGCAGCAGAGAGAGAGCTAAGCTTTCTAGAGGAGGAGGAAGCTTGTGGGCACAAGAAAGGTGGGGAGGGAATCAATAGAAAGGGAGAAAGAGAGGAGGAAGCCAGGTTTTATAGTGCTGTGGTGACCGAGACCTGATCCTTGCTCTGGAAGAGACCAGACTCCTATGTCTTGCCTAGGAAGGAAAGTCTTCACACGGTTTTGATTAATTAGGACAAATAAATAAATACACTATTAGTGAGCTAGGTCTAGTTAACTGCGTATCAATTGGCTAGGTCTAGTTAATTAAGCCATCATGCGTGGCCATGGGATCAGAATTAAGATGTGTCAATGTGTCATCAGATAGTATGGCCCTGTTCGCTTGGAGGAATTTGAAGGAATCTGGAGGAATTTATGAGAGAGTAAACAGTAAAAATTAGCCACGAACAATGAAAACCGGCTGGTTTTCACACCAGCCGAACGGCCCCATAGGGTGAGTGTGACAGCTATTTACAGCTGGGGATGGGGGGTACTATCTGAGTAATTGTCACACTCACTACCCAAAACAAATTTTTTTATTTTTAATCATAAACATTATTATGCATACACTCACTACCCAAAACAAATTTTTTTCCCCGTGGACTAGACTACTCCTCTCGGGTGGCACACTGCCACTGGCAAGAAGGTTTCCCTCATGGTATGTCACCGACAGTGAAGGCAATGAGGTTTCCTGAAGATTTAAAGGCCGACATGGAAAGTTCAATTTTTTTCCTGATGGTACACCAACCGATTTGGAAGAAATTCCTGACGATACACGCAAAAATTCAGGAAAAGTTTTCTGCAATAGTAGAAACTGTCAGGGTTTAGTCCATGATGGTTTTTCATAAGGACTGACTTTCTCTAATATATAGTCATCAGACCGTAACGGGCCATCCCTGACGGTCACCATCACGCAAAACAGTGGCCCTTTTCCTAATGGTTTCATCCATCACAGAAAAAATTGCCAGTGGTAGTGATTGCATGCTAGAAGTATTTACCGATCGACTAATTAGTAAAGGAAAATCTATTGAATTCCTCACATCACAATACCTAGTGGCGCTATATGTACGACGGAGTCTTATTGCTCCATCTTCGGTGATGGCTAACTTAATGAATTTCTATGTGGTCTAGAGTTGGGGTTTTAGTTTGGACTAAGGATGTATGGATTTTTGCGTTCCTTCTGGGCCCTATGGCTTAAGCTCCACTGTGTTGGAGGAAGTTGCTAGATTGGCGTTAGACGCGGGCAGGACAATATGGTTGTGGGGCTGGTAGGGGATGGATACGGGGGTTGATTGGATTGAGGATGGCCATGCTGGCATTGTGACTCTAGAGTGGGTAGTTAAGGTTGATTGTGATCGGACAAGAGGGGGTGCACACAACATTGAGATGAAGAAATTGGATGACGGAGCCTCGCCAGATGGATTTGGGGATGATGATGGTGAGCCAACGGGAAGGTGTTGGGTAGTTGTGCAGAGGTGGAACACAAAATGGTGGCAGCGGCTAGCAAAAATGATAGGCTTAGGGTTTGAGCAAACCTCTTTGTACAAAATGAAATTGCTCCTAGCCATTGACTGAAGATTGGACGGATAAGAAACTATCAAAATTTAATGAAACAATTAACTATTACTTTAGTCCTGCAAAGAGTGTCATTCTGGTATTTTCCTAAGTCAAACAATCTAAAGTTTAACTAAATTTATTTGAAAACATACTAATATCTAGGATACCAAATTAGTATCATTAAATTTATCTTAAAATATGTTTTCATAGTAAATCTTTTTTTGTGTCATAAATGTTGATACTTTTCTGTATAAACTTGCTCAAGAGCACAATTTTTTTACTTAGGGAAACACCAAAACCATAGTCTTTACGAGATGGAGGTAGTATTTGACATCTTTATGGGTGAATGCCAACAAATTTAATTTAATTTGCCACTTGAGGGGTGATGTGAGAGGGTAACTGTCATCATCACTGTGCATAAGTAAAAAGAAATAAATGCCGCATAATCCCAGACGACTAATAAGGGCATTCCCAATGGGATATTGATGGTGGTTTCTATCTTTATTAAATAACTAGTTAAGCAAAATGCTGATGTGGCAGCCTAATTAATGAGGGAAGAGAAGAAAAACTGAGAAAACAATTTCTTCCGATGGAAACCACTTCCACTCTTGAAGACACTTGCATTGTGGAGATAAGTTTCTATAGATAGTTTTTACTAACGTGGTCACTATGAAAACCATGCATATAGTTTCTAGTGCCCTAAGCCCGTTTCTTCCCTTTCCCCTTGAATTTTTCTATACACAAAAGAAAGTCTAGTTTTGGGACGGATCGATGAAGTTTGTCCAGGTCATTCACACATATTTTTAGTCAAGTATACCGGTAGGAGATGTTGATTTTTAATTAATTAGATGTTTGTGCAACTGGGGTTCGGTTTCTTTGTCATCTCTTTTGACAAAACTGGGCGCGTCGCTGTCGCTCTCAGCCTGCATTCATGGCCGGATTCATTCTTTGCCAAGAGGCGCCTAAATATTTTAAATGTTTTATACTATGCCTCGTCAATTTTCTCTTCATTTCCTGTGTATGTTTTCTTTTTGGGTCTTGGATCGATCAACCAGTGTGCATGTGCCCATTGCAATTCGTAGCCCGGCAAATGAAACTTTAATAACGTTTTGGGTAAGGTGGATTAAAATTTAATCCCTGTCACATCAGACATTCAGAGACTAATTAGAAGAATTAAATATGAGCTAATTATAAAACTAATTGTATGGATGAAGACTAATTTGCTAGACGAATTTATTAAGCCTATAAATAATCCATCATTAGCATATGTTTACTGTTGCACCACATTGTCAAATCATGGACTAATTAGTTTTAATAGATTTGTCTCGCAAATTAGTCTTCATATGTATAATTAGTTTTATAATTAGTCTATATTTAATACTCTAAATTAGTATCTAAATATTCGATGTGACAGGGGCTAAGATAGCCCGACTAGTGTCAAAAAGATGTGAAATATCTATAGAAAGCTAGGGAGCAGATCACACCGTTCTTCTTTTAGGACAAAAAAAAATCTAGTGAATAACAAAACCTATTAGAATTATTGGACTATACATAGACCCCGTTCGTTTGTCTTAAATTTAGCTTGTTCGGCTTGTTTTTTCAGCCGGAACAGTGTTTTTCTCTCATAACAATTCAGCCGGAACAGTGTTTTTCAGCCAGTTTCAGCCAAAGTTCAGACCAGCGAACGGGGCCATACAGGACAAAACCTATTAAAATTTGCTCCTGGGTCCTCAAAGTGACCTCCCTTCGCCAGCGGATACCGAAAATGGAGCAATTTCCTGGTGGACACTTTTATTGTTGCCAAATTTGTTAGAGGACACCAAATGCATTAAAATATTCATTTCTAACATAGGAGGTACACAAGAGCGGTGAAATGTCCTTTTTGCCCCTTTCTTCTTCCTCCTCTCTCCCTTTCTTTTCTTTCTCGTCGGCAGCCGTAGTGGTGACGAGGGCGAGAGGTCGAGATGGATGGGGGAGCAAGGAGCGCAGGCTCCGGCGACACGAGAGGAGGCAAGCACGTAGGCCGCCTCTCTCCACACAAACCTCGCTACCGGTGAGGTGCTCCGCCGCTGGTTGCTGCTCCACGTGGCTGGACGTGTGCTCTGCTCCACCGCTTGGCCCGCCACCCTCTGGGCTTGCGCGAGCATGCCGATTTGTGCACACGCGCCCCGCCACCATTCACACAGACCCACACTAGGGCTTGCGAGTAGCCGCTCGCGTAGACCTATGTCGGGGCTCGCGCCTCCGCTCCGCTTGGATCACGCTGGGTCCCACGCGCCACCGCCCTTGTCTAGCCTCGTCACACCGAGTGCAGGCGCCGGTGCTCCCTTGTGCTCCGCGGGTCCTTGCCACCACCCTCGTCTGGCCTCGCTGCGCCAAACGTAGGTCCCGACCGACGTCGGTGAGCCACGGGGGAGAAGAACAGGGACAGAGGAAGAAGAAAGAGGCAGGGGCAAAAAGGACATTTCACGACTCTTCTCTAACATCCAAGGCAGAAATGAATATTTTAATGCGTTATGTGTGCTTCAGCAAATTTGACAACAAAAAAGTATCGACCAGCAAATTCCTCCATTTTTGGTGTTTGCCAACAAAGTGAGGTCACTTTCAAGCAAAATTTGCCTTATGTTAAATGTTGAAAGCCCTAGTTTGGTTTTGGATAATTGATGAAACCTAGTTGGACTAATCTTTGCATTTAATTGTGTGATTAGATAAGATAGTCCAATCCAATTGGAGGAGCTAGGTGGCACTCATGATTGAAGATGGTCACATGAAATGAAGTCCATGCTGGTGGTGTGGACATGTGATGATGATCGAGCTCCGGGACTTGGAAAAGAAGAAAGAAAAAAACAAAATGGGCTCAAGGCAAAGGTGATATCCATAGGGCCATTTTGTTTTCGGTGATCGAGACACTATAGAGAGTGTGATCACATTTAGGATAGATAGTTGTACTGTTTAGAGGGGAGCTTTAATCGGACAACTCGATCATCTAGTGCCACTAGGTGTTGAAAAACATGCATATGCATTTTAGGCATAGTGCACAATCGGTGAGAAGTGTTTAACCTTTGGAAAATGATTGTGAAAATGCTAACACACTTGCGCGCGATGGTGAAACACTTGGAGTGTTAGCACATTTGCAAAGGTGGTGAGAAAGGTGAAGAAACGAAGGCAAAACTCAACTTGGGTGCTGCCACTGGGGCACCACCACCCCTATGGCGGTGACCGACTGGGAGGCCGAGAGCAACAGGTTGCCCTAGGGGCACCACCACCCCTAGGGCGGTGCCCAACTGGACTTGGCCGAGAGCAGCAGAGAAGGGCGTGGCACCGGTACGTCCGGTGTGCACCACCGCTGTG